ACCGTTTAGCGCTCAAAGATCTAACTCGTCAGATGCAATTAGAAAATGTCGTTGAGGATAAAGTTTTTGGTACATTTGCAGAAAATCTAAGCTTTCTCTTAGATTGTCTAAAATCTGGTGATAAACATCGCTCCAAACCAGTCATCTTCATACTCGATGAATTTGATCTGTTTTGTGAACATCACAATCAGACATTGTTGTATAATTTGTTTGACGTTGCACAATCTGCACAGGTAAATGTTTAAATGGGTCAGGCTAAAAAAAAAATAAGAAAATCTCTGAATTTTAATACCGATAATACTTTTATTTTTATAGGTGCCAATATGTGTAGTGGGGATAAGTTGTAGATTAGATGTCATGGAGCTGCTGGAGAAGAGAGTCAAGTCGAGATTCTCGCATCGCCAAATATTTTTATTTCCCGGCGATACATCATCTTCGGAACAGTCTATGTCCGCGTTTGACGATCGTCTGGAACTCTTTCGAGATCTTCTCAGCTTACCTGACGATGAAAATGTAAATAAAGTGGAGCAACAGTACGATGATTGTACGATAGATCCACAATTTGGTTCTATGTGGAACGATTATATTAAGAGTTTAATTACCAACGTTACGATGGTGAATTTACTCAAGAGAATGTATCATATTGATGTGAGCGAGAGAAGTTTTAGAAATTTTCTGGCGGTAGCCGTCTCGACGTTGTCCGAGAAACATCAGAAACTGGAAGTGAATGATTTTGTAGAAGCAAGTAAAATCTTTTCACAAGATGACAAATTGTTGATACTTGAAGGACTGTCCATTTTAGAAATGTGTTTGGTATGTTTGATATTTTTTTGCGATTTATTTCTTAAAATTAATTTTATTTGATAGCAAAAAATATCTATATTCCGATATCACAGATAATAGCGATGAAACAGGAAACAGAGATTTACGATGGCGAGCCATTGAATTTCGAGGCGATATACAATCGCTATATGAAGTTTGCGAATCAGAATTCCTCTGTACAATCTGTCCAGAAACCAGTTATCATGAAAGCTTTTGAGCATATC